TAGGGTTAGGAAAAGGGTAAAGGTCAGGTTTAGGCTGTAGAAATGAATGGATGTCAATGGAAAGTCCCCACAAAGATAGCCAGACAAACATGTGTGTGTGACCCTGTGTGTGTGTGAGAGCCTGTGTGTGTCTGGATCCCTTTCAGAGGATTATCTGAAAGGGATCATGTGGTTTCTGAAACGGTTTATTCAGATTTCATTTGGTCTTGCTCGGAGCAAAGCGTGGGAAGCGTCACATCAATGGTCGCCTGTCTCACCGCCGCCTGTCTCCGGACGTCACGGGGGCCAGCTGCAGCTTCCGGTTCCCCCTGGGAGGAAAACACCGGACTGCGGCGCGGTGCTGAGCGGTTAGTGGAGGCAGTGAAGATATGGAGAGAAAATGGTCTCAAAATACCTGTGTGTGTAACAGTGGATTTGTAATACATGTCAGCATCTTTGTGTGTAACTTTGGAGAGTTGTATTTGTGAAACATGATTTGTAAACTGTAAAAAGAAGATTTGCGCGTAGCTCCGGGTTCTTGTAGATATGTGGTCAAATGGATACACAAATATTAAATGTATTGTTCAGGGGCCGATGAAATGGGCTCTTTATGGATTTCAGACACAAACACAGGTGAATCTGAAGATTCTGTGTGAACCTTAGTCCAAATCATTATTTATGTTGAGTTTGGAAAGTCTTCAGTTTGTTTGGTGAATAAATGTAGCAGCAGGTGATGATCTGCAGGTCCAGGTCTTCATACTGCTGAAGCAACAAAATATGGTTTCAGACCAACATCCAGCTAAATTACTGATCGAAGGTCGGGACATTTGGAAATGTGTATTAATGATTAACTGGTAGATGAACTCTACCTGTTTTATAGTCTGATCTATTTGCCCTATTTAACCAAACTCTACGTAAATTAGCTGTGTGTCGATGGAGGTTTTGACATAAACATTAAAACAAAAACACAGAAAGTTTTGTGTTTGCCGGCATTAAGACGTGAACTGGTGCAGGCCAAAGCTTTTCTAACCATATGAATGTCCTGCTGACAGTAAAACCCAGACGATCCGCAGCACTGCAGAAGAACTGCATGATTATTCTGCAGGGTGGAGGTGGGGGGTTCACGTCCTGAAGATACGCAACGACTTGCTGGGGTTATAGGTTAGGTTGAAGACAGACATTAGCTCCCACTAACAGAAAAATATGAGGAGGACAGAGCATCAATCCACCAGACTATAAAACAGGTAGAGTTCATCTACCAGTTAATCATTAATACACATTTCCAAATGTCCCGACCTTCGATCAGTAATTTAGCTGGATGTTGGTCTGAAACCATATTTTGTTGCTTCAGCAGTATGAAGACCTGGACCTGCAGATCATCACCTGCTGCTACATTTATTCACCAAACAAAC